ACACGAGGCCTTGCAGTCAGCTCTTTGCCTTGGCGCACAAGTGCACTGTGCTGCTGCACGAAGGTGAGGTCTACGGCAGCAGCAACAGCAAAATAAGCCGCAGCAGCAGCAACTGGCCACCAAACAGCAGCAGAAAAGCCCAGCGAAAAGCACACAGGCCCTAGGGGCCCACTGCAGTAGTAGTTGGGGCCCCCCCGTAGCTGCTGCCTAGGGGCAGCAGGGCTTCAGCGCCCCCCCCTGGGAGCCCCTGGGGCCCCGTGGGGCCCCTTAGGCCATATATATAATTAGCAGCAGCAGCACTTTTGCTTCACGAGGCTGTGAGTGAAGTTTTGGTGCTGCTGGTGTTGTGTTTTTGTCTTCGTCTTGATCTATTTTTGCTTTGTTTTTTTCTTCACATCTTCATTGTGGTCCAGCAGTTCTCCTTTTTGTGACTCTCTGGTTTCTTCTTTCTTATCCCTTTTTCATGTCAGTGACACCCTCTTTTTCTCTTTTTTTTCTTTCTTTCCATTGCTTGTTGTCTCAGCCACTTTTGAAGACGCACTTCACTCAGAGGCAGTCGATAAAAAGCATTCTTGTGTATCCGAAGTTCTCAAGGGAGGTGCGCCACAAGTACATCAGGGGGCCCCGAGGGGCCCCCGGGGGGGCCCCCGAAAGCTCTTTTGGGCCCCTAGGAGGCCCCTAAGGGGGCCCCTAGGGGAACCTAGGGAGACCCCAGGAGGCCCCCGGCAGTTCTTTTGCGCTTCCAGGGGGCCCCTAAGGGGCCCCCAAAGGACAGCTAAGAGGGCCCTCAGGAGGCCCCGAAAAGGGTCTCTTGGGCCCCCAGGGGGCCCCTGAGGGGCCCCCTGGGGGCCCAAGGCCCTTTGTGGGCCCCTGAGGGGCCCACAAAGGGCACCTAAGGAGCCAGCAAAACGCAGCAAAGGGCCTCGCTCGAGAGGGGCCCCCCTGCTGCCCTTAAGGGGCTTCACTTGGTGTCCCCAAAAGAGCTGCCGCTTGCATGCAGTTGTGTGGGGCATTCGTGGAGATGCTTTTGCTGCTGGTTTGCTGCAGTTTCAGCTGCTAGGGGCTGCTGCTTAGGGTTTAGGGTCTGCGCTTTGGGGGGTTGCTGTTTTTGTGGTTTGCAGCTGCTGAGTGCGGATGCGAGAGTGTCATCTTGACCCATTTCAGCCAGCGCTATCCCCGAGTGCGTGGGCCTTTGCATCAGCTCTTGGCTGGGAGCGGCTATCTAGGGTTTAGGGTTTAGGGTTTAGGGTTTGGAGTGCAAGGCTTAAACGCTGTGAAATACAGCATTTTGAGGTTTCTAGAGGCCCTTAGAGCCCTCATAATGGTTCCGCTGCCAGGAGTGCTTATTAGTTGCATTTAAAAAGTTTTCTGTTTTTTATCTGCTGCAGCTACCGCACATTCGGTTCAGCGAGCGGGGCCCCGCAAACCCTTCTGAGAACCCTAAGGGGGCCGCTAAAGGGGCCCCTAAGGCGGCCCCTGAGGGGGCCCCTGAGGGGCCCCCCAAGCCCCACGTGTTGTACGCGTTTGACGGCCTCCACTTACCCCTGCAGCACCTGCCCCTCATTTCCCCTTGTTTCCAGCTGCTTCCGCCCATCATAGAAGACCTTTTTTCTTCTGCTTCAGACACGAGCAATTCATAGTTCGACACATTAATATGCGCGGGGCCTCTGCGGGGCCCCAGGTGACCCACAGCTCACTAAAATGACCCCGGGTTTTAGGCCATCAGCTCTTCACCAGGGCCTCTCAGGAGTCCTTTTTGGTTCTTCAGTGTCCTTTTTAGCTTCCTTGTGTCCCTTTTAGCCGGCGAAATGCTCTCAGAGGCCGCCAGAGTTCTGCAGCCGACTCCAGTTACCTTTGCAAGGGCTCCGGGGGCCCCGGGGGGCCAGTGAGAGCGCCTGGGGGCCCCTGGGGGCCCCCGGAGGCCCCCGGGGGCCCCCGGGGGCCGCGAAGATTTGCAGGGGCTTTTAGGTATCGTTGCTTGAGTGAGTGGAGTATGTCTGTATGAAGAAATATGCTTCACATTTTTGATGTGGTGGCCTGAAGAATGAAAAGAGAAAAGTGGAATAAGTGTTTGTTAAGCTCCCCGGTACGGGCTAGGGGCTGTATAGACACTTCAGCTCTCCTCCATAGGGGCCCACGAAGTCATTATCGTGCAACTCATGTATATGTTTCCTTTCGAAGTTTGACGTTTTGTCGGACTTGAGAAGCGCATTATTATTAAACGCATTATACTAGATAGGCCCTGGTGCAACAGGCGGGCTGCCAGGGAGGCAGCCTTAGCTTCCCAGACTGAGCCTCATTGTGCTGCAGCACAGCCTTTGGCGCTGCTTGAATAGTTAAAGTGTAGCGCAGCTTGTGGGGGGATAAATAGGGGGCTAGCTGCTGCTGAGCTGCAGCAGACTGACTTGAGAAGGCCCGTTTGCTGAGGCTGAAGTTGAACAGAGGGGGCCCTTTGGCTGTAGTTGTTGGGTTATTCAGAAAAGCCCTTTTCGAAGCACTTTAAGGAGAGCCTAAGGCTTGTGCTAGGCATTCAAATGCGCAGGAGGTAGCGTGAGGTCGCATATATCTGTCTTGCCGAGCCTGAGGTCTTCTTGGATCCACATCATTCCACCAAAATTTGATTTGTTCAGATAACTGCGCGCGTAGCCCCACACTGTGGATCTGTGACAACAATCTGTAATATGGGAGCAGTGACTGGCTCTTTGGTGTTTAGGCTGGGGAAATTTAATGGGGCAGATGAAGGCTTTCCTCCATCCGGACCCCAACGTCACACGCTTTCAGCGTTATAATCACAGAAAAGTTTCTAAATGTACTTGGGACTCTTTCCAAGACAAAACAGTACTTCTACGGGGCTATGGGGATAACCCAGGCAAAGCATCAGCCCGCCATCTAGCCGCCTACAAGGAAAAGCTTGGGGGAAAAAAATAAAAGACAGTATCAGAAAGGGCCGCTTTGCTGTACTGAAGACACCCGGCCTCTCAGATTAGGAGCCAGGCACGTACACTACAGAAATTCTAGAGGAAAGCTTGTGGGCAGGTGCACAAGCCGCAGCCGCAGAATATCCTGGAGTAGAACAAAGGCGCGTCAGCCTAATTTCTGGCGGGGGCACCAGAGCAAAAGGAGGAGCGAGCATAAGCTGTAATAGTAGCCGCCTTTACAGTCCATCTCAGTGAGAATACGGGTGGAAGACGAAGAGGTGAGCAGCAACTAACAAGGAAAAAAGCAGATGAAAGAAGTACCTCTTAGCAGCAACAGAAGAGACCGAGAACAGAGATTGACTGTGTTTGTTGCAGCTAGGAAGGGGGCGCCTTTTACAATGAAAGTAACGGCGGCGTTCGTTCAAGCAAGGTTCTAGCCATCAACCCCTGCTTGCGAAATGCCAATAAGGAAAGCACGTGGCCCTCGTCTCTGTGTAAAAGTTGGGTTGTTGTGGGAGAAAGAGCATAAGCCCACGACCCAGAGCATCGTAGCCTTTTTGGCTGCTGCTTTCCAGGGAGTAGTGGCACTTCACTCCGCTTCTATCGAATGGAGAGCAACAGGAACAACCAACAAGGAAAGCATTTGGCCCGCGGCTCTGAGTAAAAGGGGTGTTGTTGTGGGAGAAAGAACGCTTGGGACCACAGCTAGAAATGGCCGCTGAAACGCCTGCAGAAGCCCCAGGAAAGGCTGCAGAAGTCCACTTACGCGTCAACTTGATACAGCAAGGTCGCGGCCAACAGGAACTCTTGTTGGGGAAGAGTGCCCTCCATACACTTAAGCATAGTGCAAGTCTCTGAAAAGGGCTCTACTGGGCCCTTTTTCAAACATTTCTGTCATGCATTTAATGAGTTTGTAAAGGGCTTGGCAGAAAAGTAGATTGCGGACGGGGAATTGACAACTCCAATTGGTACTGAATCTACTGGGAACGCTACATCAAAGGATGCGTGCTGCATCTGTGTGCCGCTCTTTAGTGAATCAAAAGGCACTCTGTACACCCCGGCATTCTCAGTAGAGGGACAGGGTCGGAAAAGTGTTCCTCAGAAATCTGCAACTGTTGAGCGCTAATGGAGGCGACAAATATTATCCGCAGGAAAGGCTAGCTGCAGCGGAGCGCCAGCCCTGTAGCTCTCCTATCTGCCACAGGCCCGTGGCGGTGCCGCTTGCGATGAACGATGTTGGGCCTCGCCGTATTCAAGTAGTGCAACTACGTTTTTAAGCAGCTGTTGCTTCCAGGACAGCCAAAGTGGAATAAGGCCTCTCTGCATGCAAAGCATTTTAGATGGACTCGAAAGATCGGAGTGAAAGCTGCCTTACTTTTCCAGGCAGTTCAGATGAGGTGTACGGCACTGGGCGCTGCATGGTTTGGGAGCCACTCTCTACTGACGTTCCTGAAGTCAACATTATTACCGATAGGGACATCGTGGCGGGAAATACCATGCACTGAAATACTTTTTCGCAGCCGTCCTTCGCTATGCTCATCCTGTCACATCAAAGGCTTTTATGCGCAAGGAAGTTACACAGCTGCATAAAAGATCAGCCAACCAGTGTGCGCCTCTTTTAGTAGGATATGACGTTGCAGGGGGATGCACCATTACCGGCCCAGGAAGCCAAAATCTCAGGATTCAGACTGTGCCGTGCATCATTCTGTAAATCCGTGTTTTCCTTTGTAATTTTATCTGCGGTGGGCTAAGTAATAGCACTTGTGACCCGTACTTCCGAAGTTGAATCTCTTACCTGCTGCTGCGTCGATCCACCAAAACGCACTCCCTATAGTTGTTTAGATAGACTTAGCCCAGAGAAGAACAGAGCGTTGCAAAGTCATAACCCGCAGAACGTGGACATCTACAACAGTACTCATCAAAATACCCAGTGAGCAGCCCACGTGGGGCATTTAGTGCCATTAAATTGGTGGCTTCATGCTTGTGTGTTACGATGCATTGCATGGCCATCACCAGATGTCGGTCCCTTACACGACGGGCAGTTCCTCTCTATTTGTGAATTGGAAAGGGTCGTGAAATGTAAAGCAAGCGAGCCTCTTGCCAGTTTCTTGTATTCATAGGAGAAAAAGCGATACGACATACCAAGGTAATAAGTTAAAATTAATGCGTTAAGGAGAGAGAGAGCGAGCGAGCTACAGTAGGAGATATTTTCGCTAGGTCAGTCTATTTCACTAACAAATTCTCATTTACATGTCAAGTTCGGTCCTCCCTAGCCTGCGCCCTCTAGGGGAACATTTCGTCGGCCCTCCCAGCAGAAGCTGAAGGCCCTTCACCCTTATCAATTGCTGCTCTGCAGCAGGCGAGTCCCAGCTACCCTTAGGAACGGTATCTGCTCTCCAGTGACACCCACATCTTCTTGTTTCATCAGAGTGACCACACATTTTTGGTTGGTCATGCATTTCAGTTAGCTATTCTCTTGAGTTGTACGGTCCCAAGCCACCGCCCACCCCGGCAGTTGCTCATATCAGGTTTGTTTCAGTCGCAAATGCAGTCCCTCTCTCTTTGCTCGCTCTTCCGAATCTGAATTGTTGTGAAGTGCGAAGACACATATGAGGCATGAAGTCCCCACAATGGGCGGCTAACCGTCGCAACACATTACAGGAGGTCATCCTTGTCACTTACATTCCCCGGCTCCCGCCCGCTACTGACTCTCGCTGATATTATCTTGTCGCATGTCCTATTTCCACAGCATTCACGGCCATTAAAGAGTGCACGCAGTTGCAATATATATTCTCCTGTCATTCAACAATTCCAGGAACAGGCTGGCACTCTGGTAGAACCCCAGCTCCCCAGACTACGGGCTCCAGACCCAGGGAGAGTTAGCACTCACTCCTTAGGAGCCTCTTTTCCCATCCTCCGGACGGCCCTGCTTGTATGATCACAGAGGCTCTCTCTTGCCGTAACGTCAAAAATGCAGAAAGACAATTTAGTGGCAGGAACGCCTGTTTTCAAACAGCTCAAAACCAGGGGCAAGAGCAAATCGTCCGTCTAGCGAGAGACAGCAGACTCAGCGACAAGATGCATCTTTCAAACGGCTTTCTGCTTCTTGATGGCAACGAGGAGCCCCCCAAATGCCAAAATTGAGCACTCATGTCTCGCTCAGATCACGCTTCTGGGCAACTGCCATGGCTGTGGCGCAGAGCAACTTGCTTCCCGCTGCGATCTGAAATCAATAGGAGCGCTTCCGTCAGCTAACACTGACGGAAGCGCAAACAAACAAATGCTGGCTCACCATACAGCTAACACTGTATGGTGAGCCAGCATTTGTCACTTCACTTCTCACGACCCATCAACAAACGCTTTGCAGGCCTCAGCTATGTTGTTATGTAAAACAACAGAAGAGTTGCCCAGAGGATTGCAGTGGCCGCAGCTCGGAAGCGACAAGAACACGTTTGCCCCCGCCTGAAGTTGAGGAAATTCTCCTTAATGTTCCTCCTTCAAGACTGCAGCTGACTCTCTTTTCTAGAGCTTTGCTAGGCTTGAGCCCATGGTTCTAATTGCATCACTGCCTAAGAGGCTGCCCCACTTAGCGTGTATCGCTTCACTATGAGAGGGCTCCTACCCGCATCTCTTCTGTTCTGGCTACATACTTTCGTACCTATCGTTACTTACCAAAGAGAAGAGCTCTATGTCCTGGTTTTCGGAACACTACCCCTTGCCAACCCAGGACCCTAGGCATAACTGCATAGCACAACAGGCCTTTCCGCCCAAGGCACCGCCTTTGCACAATAATTGCCTTCACTTATTACTCCAATCTACACATTCTGAATTATAAGCCCTCAAGTCCATTTATGGGTGGCATTGCAGTGCTGCACAATGCAAGGACCCTTTTGCCAGTTTCGTCCTTCGCATTCGTGGAAGGACCTGGAAATTCACTTCTCTGGGTGCAGTGGAATGTTTCCCTGAAACATTCCTCCTGTGCATAGTAGGCTATTTGACGCACGTACGTGCGAATCATAGACCCACTCCAGAGTGGTACGGCGACGGATTTGGATTTTCTCCCACATACGCTCGTTCCCTCTTCCTTTGATTACTAGAATTACGTTACTACTTTAACTATAAAGTCAAAACGTAATTTCAGTAATTCAAGAGATTGCATTGGCCCCGCAGGGAAGTCCACACGCCCGAGTGTCTTGCTGTTTTGCCCCCTGAAGGGTTCGCTTGTAAGCTCCAGCATTGCGGCAATTGGTTTAATACTTTTGTGCCTGTCACTTCCATCGCATCAACAGCTTCAAAACTTTTCCATTATGACAGCTTCTAGGCAGCCCGCCGTGAAGAGGTCTGGCCTACACCAAGAAAGCGCCAAATGGTCTGCTTCAGGCATATCTTGAAATCCAAAACTTGCAATCAAGACTGGAGTGGCTTTAGAGTGTTAAAAAAATGCAAAAGCAACTTCACGGGCCCCCCTTAGGATCTAGCCTTATGAAGGCTAAAATCGTGTCTAGAGTGCCCAGCAGTTGCGGCGAAGACACGGGCACTTCACACTGCAGCAGACAGCAGCCTTCTTCACAGACTAAATGGGCCAACTGGGTTTAGCCTTCAAGCCAATTCTGGCTTCGCCCATAAACTGGCTGCTTACCCCCAAACTACAGTCTGCAGTTAACCTCGGGGGGGCTTTGTCTCGGGCGAGGGCCTCAATTTTGGTCTACAGCACTCCGCTGAAGAGCCCCGTGGGGCCCCACAGCCTCTACAGGACAGCTAAAACGCTAAGGAGATCTAATGGCTAGCCAGGGGCAAAACCCGCAGCACTTTTGCTGCGGCTCTGGGGGGCCCCCTGCGCTGCGCTGGCTGGCTGCTGCCCCAGTGGGGCCCCTGCAGCCTTTGAGCTAAGATGAAGTCCTTCTACTCTAGCTTGCTGTTACTGGCTGCAGCAGCAGCAGCTACCTAAAACTGCTCAAGTGCTGCTGGCCCAGCGCCGGGCCGAGTTTGCTGCTGCGGTGCAGCAGACCCCCCACTGCCCCCCTTGTACTGCCTGCTGCTGCTGCTGCTGCTGCTGCTTCCTCTACTGAGCTCTGGGGGGAACCTGAAGCGCTGGGGCCGCCAGCTGCTGCTCTAGGAAGCCGGCTTGGGTTTGGTAGCCAGAGTTCGGGGGGCAGCGGAGGAGAAGAAAGAGACAAAGAGCCTGGCTTGTGTTTTGCAAAAACTTCTTTTTTAAATGAGCAGCAAATGGGAAATGGTCTTTTAGTGTTTGGGGAAAAGAAGTTGGGTGGGGCCTGGAGCGGCGAGAGGCGGTGGCCGGCTGTCTTTACGGCGCGGGAGGCTCTTTGTGGATGCGTCCGCGAGAGAAGTCAATTAATTTATAATTGTTTGGATGTATTTGAAAAGATGCAAAGAAGAGGCTCGGGCGACACTCAGAGACAGACATGCGCATAGGCTTCTCTCTGCCAGCTAGCAGCAGCAGCAGCAAGAGCAGCAGCAGCAGCAGCAGCAGCGCCGCTGTACCTGCAGCCCGTCGCATACCGCTACACCTGTTTTCTGTTTCTATTCTCATTTCTTATTCTCAGCTGCAGCGCCTGAAAGTCCGAGAAGAGAGCCGACGGGCTCAGCAGCAGCTGCTGCTCAGGCGCAGGCTGGCTGCTGGAGGGTACATACACCTGAACTCGACAGCAGCAAACCGCCCAAACCCTCCAAATCTGCTTTTCCAGTTTTGTTGTTTTCCTTGCGAAGGGGTCCCTGCTGCGTGTCCTCCGTGGCATTCCCGAGCCGCCAGCAGCTGCAGCAGCAGTGCAGCAGCAGCAGCAGCAGCAGCGCGTCTGAAAGGATGCCAAAGGCTTTGCTGCTGCTGCAGCAGAGTGGATTGCCTCGCAGCTGCTGCACCCGCAGTGTATGGACACCTGCTGCCATGCAGACGCCTCCAAACCCTTCTGGGGTTTCCTTCACCCCTTTGCCTTTGGTGTTTCCCCCAGTAGAGCCCTGCCCCCTTTTTGCTGCTGCCGCTGAGTCGGAGCAGGCCGGCCAGCGGCTGCCTGCTGCTGCTGCAGCAGCAGCAGCAGCAGCGCCGGGCGCGGCCGGCGTGGAGCTCGCAGCAGTTCGGCAGCAGCTCCTGCAGCGCATGCAGGAGCTCTCCGCCCTTCACCGAGTCACACTGGCGCAGCAGCAGCAGCAGCAGCAACAGCTGCAGCAGCAGCAGCAGCAGCAGCCAGCCGAATGCCAGAGGCCCCCTGAGGGGCCGCCTTTGCCCAAAGATGCAGAGGCAGCAACTGAGACGGCGCCAGCTGCAGACGCAGCAGCAGTGGAGCCGCCAGCAGCAGAAACGCCAGCAGCAGCAGCTGCAGCTGCAGCAGCAGCAGCAATAGTAGCAGCAGCAGCTGGCCCAAGTGGGAGGGCCCCTATCCCCTTTCCTGGGGTGCCTGCTGGGCCCGCAGGGGCCCCCGGGGGCCCCCCGGGGGCCTCCGGGGCCCCTGGGGGCCCCGGGGGTCCCCACTTCAGCTTGGGGGGTACAGAGGGGGGCCCCCAAGAAGGGTCTTGGCTGCAGCAGCATGCGCATGCATTAATGATGGCTGAGATATATGAGGGGCAGCTGCGGCTGTGGCATTCATTTGCTTCGCTGCTGCAGCTGCAGCTGCTGCTGACGACGCAGGAAGCTGCTGCAGTGAAGCTCAGCAGCAGCAGCAGCAGCAGCAGCAGCATAGGGAGCAGCTCGTGGCTCGTGTCCCGACCGATCGGCGGCCTTGAAAGGTGCCTCTCTCCGTCTCCGTATGCAGCAGCAGCAGCAGCAGCCACTGCAGCAGGAAGTGCAGCATCAAGCAGCAGCAGCAGCGGCAGACGAGATGTAAGTGCAGCACCGCCGGCACGGCTGGCCCCAGTCTGCTGCTTCTCGACTTCTGCTGAGTTGCGTTTTGCTGCTGCTGCTGCTGCTGCTGCTGCGTGTGTGTCTCAGCCCGTGGCGGCGGGGCGACTTGCTGCGCTGCAGACGCAGCTGCAGCAGCTGCAGCAGCTGCAGCAGCTGCAGCAGCAGCAGAGTCCGGTGGGAGTTCCCGGCGGTGACGTTGCGTTCCGCATGCAGGGGTCTGCGGACCCAGCAGCCGCAGCAGCAGCAGCAGCAGCAGCAGCAGGCCCGCCTCCGCAGGCAGCCCCCGCAGCAGTCCTTCCGCCCGGTGCAGCCGCGGCCTCCGCGCCGCCGCCGCCACCGCCGGCCCCCCCGCAGCAGCAGCAGCAGCAGCAGCAGCAGCAGCAGCAGGCGCCGTGGCGGCTGCGTTTCTTGGTGATGTACCTGAAGCTGCTCGTGCTGCTGTTCCTCTTCGACGCAGGCAAATGGGTTTATCTTTGCTGCCTCCTTGTTGCGCTGCTGCATGCAAACGGGGCTTTCAATCCTTTGCTGCAGCTCGTCACCAGCACCAGCCACGCCCAGCCCTTCGAAGCTGTCAGACTCCACGCCCAGCTAGCTAGCTAGCTAGCTAGCTAGCTAGCTAGCTAGCAAGCTAGCTGGCTGCGTAGATAGCTGCCCGGCTGGGGTCTAGCTAGCTGCCTAGCTAGTTGCCTAGCTAGCTAGCTAGCTAGCTGGATGCCTAGCTAGCTTGCTAGCTAGCTAGCTAGCTGCGTAGTTGTTTGTCTAGCCAGCTAGCTAGCTAGCTAGTGCACTTCCTACGCAGGAACTGGCCTCAGGCAGCTCGTTGGCTTGAGATCTGGCTAGCTAGCTTAGCTAGCTGGCTGGCTAGCTAGCTAGCTAGCTGGGTAGCTAGCTAGGTCACTTCCGGGCAGTTGTTGGCCGCAGCTAGCTAGCCAGCTGGCTAGCTAGCTAGCTAGCTGTGTCACTTAGAAGGCCGCTGGCTAGCCAAGCCGAGCAGGTAGCTGTAGCGGTGGATCTCGCAGACACAATAGGCTGCGTCATTTGCTGCTGTTCCTGCTGCTGCTGCTGCTGCTGCTGCTGCTGCTGCAGACGCTGGCCCAGCTGAGGAGGAGGCGGGAGCGGAGGCCGCTGCAGCGGCTGCGGCTGCAGCAGCAGCAGCTGCATGCGTCTGTGGGGCGACCCTTTGAAGGTGAGTTTCCGATTTCGGGTGTACGTACACCGCAGCAAACGCAGCAAGCACTGCTGCTGCGGCTACCGTTATTATCAATTCATGTCTTTATTATAACTAGTTATTATTATTATTTATTATTATCATTAATTTATTTATTATTATTATTGTCGTCATATTTGAGTTTATTTTTGTTGGAATTAAGAGGTGGAGATACACCTGAGAACCAGCCTCGTGCTGCACATCCACGGTGCTTCATTTCGGGTGTCTGTACACTCCGCCTTTGGCGCTGAGGAGCCCTTTAATGCAATTTGAATTTTATTTCTTTTTTATTTTCATTTGATTTATTTATTTATTTCTCTGCGCGCGCAGGAGAGACGCCGACAGCAGTAGCAGAAGCCTCTTCGCCCCAGACAGTCAACACTGCATCCAGCAGCATCAGCAGCAGCAGCAACAGCAGCAGCAGCAGCAGCGACAGCAACGGAACAAGCGGCCCTAGCCCCACCGAAATCAGCGCCGACGACGGCAGAAGCAACAGCAGCAGCAGCAGCAGCAGGGCGTGGGTCAGCAGCGTAGACAGGTCTGTGGAGGCGGCGCAGGAGCTGCGGAGCCGCCGCCTCGCTGGCGAAGATCCTGTAAGAGTTTCCGGGGGCCCCCCTGCAGAGCGGGGGGCCCCCGAAGCCCCCAGGAGTACCCTGGGGGCCCCCGGGGCCCGGGGGGACCCCGGGGCGCGGGGGGCCCCCGGGGGCCCCCCTCAGCGGGGCAGCGACGGGGGGGCCCCCATACCCCCCTACTGGAAAAGGGCCCTTTATCAAGGAGTCGCCATGTTCTTTTTAACAACAATTCCTTCTTGGAATCCAAACCCAGAGTTGCTGATAGATTATGAGGGACTTGCGGAGGAAGAGGGAGAAGGGGCGGAGCCGGAGGGGCCCCTGGGGGGGCCCCTGGGGGCCCCCCGCGCTGTGCAGCAGTGAGCGCTGGGGCCTGGGGGGCCCCCGGGCTTTCTCGCTTTGCTTTTGTTTGGTCTTTTTGTTGCTCCTCCGTTTATTTGGTCCTTTGTGGACTAGCCCCGCGCTGCTGCTGCGCTGCTGTAGCGCTGCTGCTGCAGAAGCAGCGCCCGTGCTGCAGCAGCTCGCCTCCAGCAGCAGCGGCTGCAGCTCCAGCAGGGACGGCTACGCTGCAGCTGCAGCAGCTGTGTTGCAGCAGCAGCAGCAGCTCTGCTGCAGCAGCAGCAGAAGCTGCAGCAGCAACACAGCCACTACGGGAGCTGCAGCGGCTGTGCTGCAGCAGCAGTGGCCGTGCTGCAGCAGCAGAAGCTGCAGCAGCTGCTGCGGCTTGCCTGCGTGTCTTGGGCAGAGAAATCCGTCAGTTTCTTAGCCAGCTTAGGGGCAAAGAAAGAGAAATTGAAAAGAAACTTTTGCTGCTGCTGCTTATTTCTTGTGGGGTCAGTTGGTTGGCGGCAGGCGCCGCAAGTGGCAGCGCGCGAGTTCGGGTGTACGTACACCGTAGCGAAACTAACACGAGACACAATTTTGTCTCTTCTTAATTTCATTTGCGTTGAGAATTTATTACCCAACTACTTGCAAGCCGCATCAAAACAGCAGCAGCAGCAGCAGCTGCTGCTGCTGCCGCTCCTGCTGCTGCTGCTGCACGTACACATGAGGCTGGGAACGGGAGGCGGAGCCGTTCGCTGCTGCTGCTGCTGCTGCTGCTGCTGCTGCTCCTGCACTCACTTTCGGCGAGCCTTGCTGCTACTGCTTTCATTTTCAGTGGGCCTTGCTGCTGCTGCAGCTCTCATTTTCAGCAGGCCTTCCTGCTGCTGCTGCTGCTCTTTTCAGCGAGCCTTGCTGCTGCTGCCCTCATTTTCAGCGAGCTTTGCTGCTGCTGCAGTAGGTGTTGCTCCCCTTCTGCAGGGGCAGTGGCAGCAGCAGCAGCATCTGCTGCGCTGAGGCAGCGCAGCAGGACTGCAGCAAAAAAATGCATGCAAAGGAGCACTCTTGAATGGCATATAATTAAACAAAAATAAATAACTTTAACTGAATAAATCCTTTCGTAAAAAGAGACTTATTCAATTAAAGTTATTCATAACTTTAATTGAATAAATCCTCTTGTAAAAAAGTCTAAATAAAAAGCAGAAAACTCTCGAGCTGCATGCAAAAGTTAATTGCAAACTTTTAAAATTCAACTGAGACTCATATTCAAAATTCATTTTATTTTTTAAAATAAAAATAGAAAACGGGCTTTTGTCTGCGCACTAATTGAAGACTTCCCATGTACAATGTGGCCTCCTCAGCTGCAGCAGCAGCAGCAACAGCAGCAGCCGCCGCAGCAGCAACAGCAGCACTTGAAACGGCAACAGCAGCATCAGCGATTCCGGCAGCAGCACTTGCAGCAGCAACAGCAGCACTAGAAGACCAATAGCAGCACCAGCAATCCCAGCAGCAGCAGCACCAGCAATCCTAGTAGCAGCAGCACCAGCAATCCTAGCTGCTGAATCCCAATTCTCTCGTATTTGAAATTGTGTGTACAGTGCATTTGTTTGTTTGTTTCATTGTTGTCGGAAAAGAATGCAAATGGCCTCTTGTTTGCTGCTGCTGCTGCTGCTGCTGCTGTTGCTGCAGCATGCGCGGGCAAAACAGCTGCTGCAGCGAACAGTGCGGAGAGGAAAGACTGAGCGCTTGAGAAAAAGGCTCGAGTTTTCTTCTCCGTAAATTAAAATGAAAATACTTTTGAAATAAAAGCAGCAAAAGAAAAAGGAATTCAAAAAAGGAAGTGCGGCGCCGCAGCTGCTGCAAACTGCGCATTAAGACTGAAACTTGCGAAGTTGCAAAATATGAATATTTCCCAAAATTGGAAAACAAATTCATTATGCAATTGTAATGCATGCATGTTTCACAAAAACAGGACATCTTGTGCAACAAAAACCACCTTTTGGAGAGGAAATCTGCAAATTTCTTTAATTTGGGAAACCCGCGCATTCATTTCGCAGTTGTGCAATATAGCTGCTGCTGCTGCTGCTGCGGCAACAAGAAGTACATACTCTGCAAACTGGATTACTTACAAGTTTATTTTATGCATGCATCACAAAAATGCCATTTTGAGGCTCTCAAGTGCCGACTTGAGGAAAATGTTGAACTGCGAGTCTGGCTGAAGTGCCAACTTGCTGCAGCTGCTGCAGTTGTTGAATTTTCTTTGGTGCAGCAGTAGGCTGAAGTCTGCTGCTGCGTTGCCCTGCAGCAAACTGGAATTATAAAAACGCCAATTAATTGACTCTGCAGCTCCACTGCGAGCCGCAGCAGCAAAGGCACAAGAATGGACTCAGTGAAATGAACTGATCTCTTTTGCAATTCGATTTATTCCATTGTTGGCGCCAAAAATGACCAAACATCAACACAAGGCAGCAGAAGCAGCAGCAGCAGCAGCAGCAGAAAACACACGAAGCAGCAGCAGCAGCAAATACACAAGACATTGCGCGGCGCGGCTTTCCCTGCCAGTTCTAACAGGGAAAACATCTACAACGGACGCTGCATGAATTATAAACACTTTTAAAATAAGTTTAAATAAAATATAAATGCATTTCAAATACAAAACTCGAACACTCAAACACTCAAGTCAATTCCACTTTCACACAAACATGAATTGCGCCTCTCCGTCTTCCATTTGGCTGCGAGTCAACAGATCTGCTGCTGCTGCTGCTGCTGCTGCTGCTGCTGCTTTTCACTTGCTTTGCAGAGGCCCCTGCGGAAGCCCTTTTGGCCTCCACTGTAGAAGCTGCTGCAAAGCTCTGCAGCTTTGCTGCTGCAGTGCCATTAAGGCTGCGTCTGCGGGCTTCTTTTTTGCTGCTGACGCTATTCTGCCCCTTAAAAGTGTTAATTCATTGTTGAAATCCCAGTTCTGCTGCTCCGCGAACTGCTGCAGCTGCCGGTGCTGCTGCTGCTGCTGCTGCAGTTCCGCCTGCAGCCGCGCCAAGTGCGGGTGACTTTCCCGCACTTCCGCCGCCGACCCCCGGGCCAGCTGACCCGCATCCCGGTGCTCTGAGCGCAGCAACAGCAGCAGCAGCAGCGGCTGCAGCAGCAGCAGCAGCAGCAGCACTAGGCTGGGGAGAGGCTCTTGAGAGCTGGGCAAATGAACTTTTCAATAATGTCTTTTTGCAAGTTTTCATTTCCTGGCTCTTTTGTGAGCATGTGGGAGAAGCCCCTCAGCAGCCAGAGCTGCAGGCTGCCGTCGTGGCTGGAGCTGACGATCTTGGACGCCTGCTGCTGCTGCTGTTGCTGCTGCTGCTCCCCCTCCTCCCCCTGCTGCTGCTGCTCCCCCTCCTCCCCCTGCTGCTGCTGCTGCTGCTGCTCCGCTTCTTCCTCCACAGCCTCCAGCTCCTCCTCGGAAGCCTCCGCGGGCCCCACAGCTGGCTCGGGAAAAGGCTCGAAGCCACTAGCCCGAACAGCATCCATGAGTTCTTTTGCATTTTCTACAAGAACTTGACATCCATCTTCATCGAAAACAATTCCCGGGACTCTTCCCCATCTTTTCCTCTTCCAGTAGAGCCCCGCGGGGCGCCGCTGCGCTGCTGCTGCGCCCCCTTGCTGCTGCTGCTGCTGCCCGCACCTGCAGCACTGCAGCAGCAGCCCCCCGCTGCTCTCCTGCTGCGCCTTCCCTTTGCGCCGCCGGTTCCGCCGCCGCTTCGGCTCTGCTGCGCTGCTCTGCTGCTCCTCTCCTGCAGCGCAGCAGCTGCAGCAGGAGCCCCGCAAGCACCCGCCTTCTCCGCTTTCTGCGGCCGGCGCTGCTGCTGCTGCTGCTGCTGCAGTAGCAGCAGCAGCAGCGGCGGCCTCCTGGTTCTCCCCCTCTGCTGCTGCCTCCTGCTGCAGCTCCACTCCCGCCTCCGCTTCAGGCACAACAAAGCCCGCAGAAGAGCCTCTGCGGCTCTCGGACACCAAGCCCTCCGGGCCTGCTGCTGCTGCTGCTGCTGCTGCTGCTGCTGGCGGCCGCAGCGCAGCAAACTGGGCCGCGAGCCCTGCTGCGCTGCGCTCTGCTGCCAGCCTCTCGCAAGCCTTGGAAGCAAGTCTGTCTAAAGTGCTGGCCCTTTCAAGAGTTTCATTTGCACTTTTAATTGCTTCGAGAGCTGAGGCGATTCGGTCTGCTGCTTCTTTGCTGCCGTCTGCTGCTGCTGCTTCCGCCTCTTTTGCTGCTGCTTCGCTGGCCTGCAGCTCCAGGCTCGCCTGCTGCTCCAGCTGCGAAGCAGCACGAGACAAGAACTCCGCCTCGAAGGCTGCATCAGGCCTCTCGAACTCGTCTTCCTGCTGCTGCTGCTGCTGGGCGTCCTCAGCAGCAGCAGCAGCAGCAGCAGCAGCAGGCCCGGAGGGCTTGGTGTCCGAGAGCCGCAGAGGCTCTTCTGCGGGCTTTGTTGTGCCTGAAGCGGAGGCGGGAGTGGAGCTGCAGCAGGAGGCAGCAGCAGAGGGGGAGAACCAGGAGGCCGCCGCTGCTGCTGCTGCTACTG